AATTACTAATAACATTATACATATTACAAAATAATAAGAAAATAATATATACTTCTATGTTATGAAACAATCATTCCATATATATATTGTACACTATTAGCAGCGCATATCTATTTAAATTTAATTTATTTTCTTATAAGCATAATACAAATTTTAAAAATATATATAAATTAAATAAAATCATGCAAAGTAGTGCATTCATAATATATAACTTATTTATAATAGCATAATGGTTAAATATGATAATATAACTGCATTAATAATTATATTTATTCACTGTTTGAAAAATATGAGTTTATAATTAACCCACAAAAATGTAATTATTTTCATCCAATATATATATAATTAAAAATAATAATTATTATTCATTTTTAACAGAAGAAAATAAATGAAACATATATAATGAATAAAATATGTTAAAAATTATAAGAATACTAGAATTAATAAAACACTAAAATGAAATCTAATATGAACTTCTAGTACATTCTTTAAATAAATTTTGAAACAAAGAAAATAAAAATATATATACTGGATGTTATAACAAAATAACTTGTAATCAACCTTAATGTAATATTCAATATATATATAATAAAAACCCTTATTGTATAATAATAGATTGTATATTTTAATTACCAAAGGTAATTAAGTTTATTTTATTTTTATGAATTTTAATAAAATAATATAATTGTAAATTAACAATAATAATAATAAATAATATATGCTTTATATTTTCAAAATACAAATATATAAATAATATATTTTGATATATTATTTACAATATATACACCTCAATATATAATATACAAAAGTAAAAATATTCTGCAAATTAAGAAAATAAAAGATAAATCGTTAAAACTAAAATCATTAACTCTGAACTCTAAAATATTTAATATGATTTTATGCGTAATTTTGACAAAAAATATTATTGTCTTTTTAACTAAGCATTATGTTTATGTTTTTCATATATTCCTTCAAAATAATTAAGAAAATACATTATATATCACAAACAGTAAAATGCTATTATTAGAATAATAAATAGTAGTTATATTATTATTATTCTTTCTAAGAATTCTACAGTTCTAATTATGTGTAAATAATATTTTTTAATATAATGTATAAATCTTTTTAATATTTTAAATTCATGTGCTTGTAAACGGCAATATTTTATTAGATTAATTTGAAAAATCATATAATCATAATCATGTGGTAAAATCTATGATAAGATAAAATTACTGTTATATCTCTCCCAGTATATTAGTAAATATATATATAAATTTCCATTATTTTTATGTAAACTGCTTCATGATTATATGTTTTTTGCAATATTATTAGTTTTATATTTTTTTAGTATGTATCTATAAATTCGTTATTTACTGAATCTGATAGTGTCATAAATAATTTTCTGAGCAATAAAAAAACGTGGAAGATTGCCTGAAAAAAAATTAAAGGAGAATTTTCAAATATTTCTTAAACAAATGCTATTTATATATGATATCAATCTATATAATATTTATATTAAATATTTACATTAGCAAATAATACGTCTTTGCAAACAAACCCTTTACATACTTCTATTATTGTACACATAAATATAAACCAAATAATGGAAACTATATAAAGAGAGGCCAAAAATATTTATGGTAAGTTGATAAATATAGTTTATAATAGCAAATATTTAAAGGCTTTTCTTTTTAATAATCAGATAAATAATACTTATGATAAATTAGAAATACTCTAAAGTATATATCATATTAATATAGAAATTTGTCGTATAGAAAATTCTAATTCTAGTGCGTTGAAAATAAATGAAGCTGTTCCAGAAAGTGTGAAAATATATATTATCGTCTAACGAATGCTTATGTATCAAACAGTGTCTTTCATTTACATAAAAAATAATTAAATATTAGGAAAAAATTTAATTACCTCCAATCAATAAGTGACTACGAAATAAGTTTATCAGAAAGATTAACTTATCATCAAAGCCAAAAATTAATAGTTCCTACTTCAATTCATGTTGTTATAATATTATTATTAACATGTATATTGCTTCTTATATAAAACATTAATAATATATATGCTAATAAATAAAATTTTTATTCATCTAAATATTCTAATTATATATTAAATTCAAACTATTATTTTCCTTTACAAGTACAAACATTAATTTCTATGATGACAATAAATTTCAGTTAATAAAAAAATTTATAGATCGCATAAGTACAATTAATTAAATTAAATATATGTTATAACATATAATAATATTTATAATTCCTTAAAACATTCTATCTTCATGAAGATGAATAATGTTATTATAATCTTTTACGTTTTGTTGTATAGCATATTCACGAATTTGTTATACATAAAATTTATATTAAATAACCTTAACTGCGGTATTAACCAATAATTATATCTTCTTGTGTTTAATATTACACGTGAATATAGAAAATATTACTTATTTGATAATTATGGTTTTAACATATATTTAATAATATGTTTATATTTATATAGTGTTCTGTCTTATAGACATTGTATCTCTTTAGTAGTATTCTTTAATAAAATTTTAATAGAAATAAGGATACTAAAAAAAAAAATAAATAAATAAACTATCTATATTTAATAGATTAAGTATTTTTAATTAAAGCAAAATGTAAATATCAATGTAATGTATTATATTATATATGTTATACAATACTATTTTTTTTTTATTTTACATTAAGGATTCATATATTATAGTGTCTAAAAAACTATAGCTTTTATTAGACATGTAACAATTGATAAAGAACAATTTGTATTTGGTAAGGATATTTTTTTATATTAAATTTATATATTTATAGATGTATTAAATTAAAGGTTTAACAGAAATTAACTATTCTAATTAAATAAATATGCATAATATATATACATAACTTATTTATTACAAATTATATGCTAGGATAATATTAAAATATATGAACAAAAAAAAATATAAATTGGATGTAAATAGTAGATTACTACTATATTTTATCCGAGAATATAAGACACATGCAAATTCTATAGTGAAAAATAATTTTAAGAATCATAATAAATTTATTATGATAAAAAAAACTATTTGGCATAGTATTATAAGCCATGAGAACTAAAAATATACTTTAAACCTTGCACCCTAAACCCTGTAATTTTATAATATATTATAGTATTTTTTATTTTTTCTAGTTATTTATGTTAGTTTCATTATATTATAAATTATGGTATCATTGTTTATTCAAAATAAACAATAATTATGCGAGTTAATTTGAGATTTATTAATGTTATGCATACTCCTTAGATAAGTAATTTATATTAATTCTTTTCCTTATCGGTCCTAAGGAAAAGTCTTCAGTATTCTTAGAGGAATAGCTATTTTGTATATTATTTTTTATTGGACTCACCTTTATATATTTATTATATAGAAACTTTTTTATTTTAGTATACTATATATAAAGTGTTAATTAAGACAAAATATAATGTGTGTATATTGTAGAAATAACGTTAAAGTTTTATAAATTTAAGTAATTAGATAATGTTATTCTTAATTCTTAAATTATATTTTATATTACATTATATAATAAATAAAAAAAAAGAAAAAATACAGTTAGAAGAGGAAAACAAATAGAAAAAATTGATTTTATTCGATCTACATTATAAGTATCAGTATAATTTTCTATTGGCAACACATCTGCACTTTTCTTTGATGATGATTCATCGCATACATTCTCTGTATATGTCATCTTACAGCAGTAATTATTATTGGTTTTAATACAAAATCCTGTTTGAAAAACATTTTTTATTTTATCCAGCATCGCTTTATTATCCTTAACTATTTTGCATATGCACATTTTTTTCTTGCCAATCCATACCTTGAATAAATTGCAATTCTGTGCGTCAAGCTTAAATTCATTTATATTTACCATTATATAAATTATCCAAAAAATCTTTAAGTTTTTTTAAGTTATCATCTATATCATCTGATTCTAGAACTAATTTCTCTCCATCGTAAGAAAAATTTTTATACGCATCTTCCCAGTTCATCATTGAACTCATCTTAAATCTTTATGATTTCAATACTTCTGAAAAAATAGTTAAAGATATAACATTTATATATGAATATATTTCATTAAAAATTTAATTAAATATATATACCTCATTATTATTGATTTAATAAATGTTAACAAAAGGAGCATATTTAAAAAAATCAAAAAAATGACCATGATTATACTTTCTTTTTCATTAAATAATTTTCAATTCACTAAATTCCTGTTTTTTTGTTATGTGCATACATATGAGATTTCAGAATTTCATTTTGGTTTTCATTTCAACAGATTTATGTTATAGATTAATCCATTAGAAATTTCTACTTGAACATTAAAATTATGCATTAATTTTGAATTCTTATCTTATATTTTTATTCTTTCATATACAATGTATATTCAATAAAATAATTTTAATTTTTTTAAAATTTAATTATATATATTTTGTAATATTATTATATAATGATTATTGAATATTATATATTATGGTTATAATTTGACAATAAACTGTAAATGTATTTTTTTATTCTTTATATATGTATACTATTAAGTAATATATAGATATATTTAATAAATTGTGTTGTTATAAAATTTTTTTTTTTTAATGAATTCAGGATTCAGGGTTTAATTATTATGCTTGGTGTTTCGGTTATGTGTATATTGGTTTTTTTTCAAATGATATTCGATATATTTATGCTATCTTATACATTTTAATTTTTAGCGATTGTTTTTTAAAAATTATGTTCATTATTCATTACTAACACATGTGGTCACACAGTAGCTATTATATTATGATCAAAATATCTAGTAAATATAACATATATAATGTGCACTTATATATTGCAATTATTATTAGGTGTTTATGAAATTAGTCTTTTTTTGTGTCATCCTTATTTGGAAAATATGTTTCATTTTTGCACATCTTAACTTATTGAATTTTATTGAAATGGATTATTATAATATTCTTATATAATATGATTTATGAAATATATTTTTATTTGTATAAGTAATAATATTTATATATTCTTCAGAATTATAATTCACGTCAAAGCAAACATCTATGGTTTCTTCCTTATACTGTCCATTAAAACCACCACTACGCTCAAATATTACTTCCAGAGAATCATGACTTATAATTTCCTCATTATTTCCATTAAATGCAATGAATACAATACAATAACAAATAGATAACCCCAATATAACATCTCCTGTATATAAAACCCTTATCTTTTTTTCCACTCCTTTAGAATGGTATTTATTTTTTTTCTCAGTACTATTGTTTCCATCGTTCAAGTCACTCTCATATGAGTTCTTTTGTTCTTGAGATAATTTT